AAAAATCACGTAAAACATCCCACGTGTAACTTATTTGAGTGGGCCCAGATAGGCTGTTCATGGACAGAGCTTTTTTAGGTCACAGAAGTCTTTTGGTGAGCTCTGACATGGAAAAAACTGCTGAGTGGGGCCTCCTGACCCCTCTGCTCCCCCTAATGAACCCCAAAATTGTTCCTGCTGGGAATGGTGGCCCTTTACAGGGGTGTCCACAAACAGCCTACCTAGGCCTGTTCAAATAAGCTACAGGTGGGATGTCCACAGACAGCTCAATAGGTTGTCTGTGGACATCCCACTCATAGACTATTCAGTGGACCACAAACAGACTGTGTGCCACTGGTGACCCCCAAATGACTTAGCAAAGTGAAGGGGTTGGCCGACCCCTGCCTTTGGTGCATCCCACCTGTAGCTTATTCAATGGACCCTAGGCAGGCTTTCTGTGGACATCCCATCTGTAGCTTATTAAGTTGTCTGCGGACTTCCCACCTGAAGCTTAATAAGTTGCCTGTGGACATCCCACTCATAGACTGTTCAGTGGACCACAAATAGACTGTGTGCTGCTGGTGACCCCCAAAAGACTTGGCAAAGAGAAGGGGTCAGTCGACCCTGGCCATTGTTGCATCCACTAATAGACATTTAAGTGAACCACAAAAAGACTGTGTGCTGCTGGTGACCCATAATGACTATAAAAAAAAAAAAGGGAAAAGGATCAGTCGACCCCTTCCCTTGGTGCCCCTCCATCCCAACAGGGGGGGGGGGTGTTGGGGGAAATATGACAGACACCGGAATTGAAATAACAAGTTGTTTTATTGAACACTAATAAAGGAACAAACATTTGAACACTGGTTTCACAATAAACAATGGAAACAACAATCACAGCATTTAAGTAGAAACATGTAACAGAACAGTACACACAAATAAAGTGCAATGTGAGGGCTAACAGAACAGTTCACACAAATAAAGTCCAATGTAAGGTTTAACAAAACAGTTCAGTCCAATAAAGTGCATTGTGTGGTGCAAAAGTGTCTATCTTGCGCTTTTCAATGGCCGTCCTCCCCGGCCGTTCTTTCACTCTGTCAGAGGAGGAAACAAGAACATGATTAGTCACCATTACACAAAACTGTACAACAGTGTCAAGTTTGCTTTTAAGTTGTCCGCTTACCTCAGTGCCCTCGAGACTTGATGTGCCGGATTCCTGCAGCTGTAGCACCAGCTCTTCTGATGTGGTGCTCTTTGGTGACTCGTCCAGAGGCCTCTGGCACCGCTTCTTTCTGCTCTTCTCGGACTTCGAAGGCCTCTTCCTTTTCTTGGGACTCTGCTTTGATGGGCTCCTTTCTGCTCCCTCTAACGCACTCTCGAACAGACGGCGGTGCTCCATGGCCTGTTGGGCGGAGAGGTTCACCACGTAGAATTTGTCGGCTGTCCTCAGGTCGTGGCACATAAACTTGGAGATTTTAAGCCGGTCCTCTGTGGAGTGCGTAAACCTGGCCTGTAAACAGTAGAGAAAAGTCGGTCAAACAAATGACATTCTCAAGTCTAGCAAGACACGTGAGCTATGCGTGCGATCACTTACGTGGCTGGCGATGGAGCTTCGCACATCTGTGAAGGTGGGGCACCCAGGTAGGCCCATTGACTTCCAGGCGTCCTGGAAGTAATTATTTAGGTTTTTACAGGGGTTGGGTGTTGATGTGAAAAACAAGTATTTTGGGTTCGTCCCCCCTGGCAGCTTATCCTTTATGCTTAAGAAGCGCTGCACCCAACCCCACTCCTCCTCTGTTAGGGCAATTTGAGCAGGGCCAAAATATTGATTAGTTTTGTGGCTTGTCACCTGTGGATACATGCAGAAGACGAGACGGTTTAGGGTTACGCAAAGACAACACACAAGTGCACCAATGTAATAGATACTCACGTTAATCAGGTAAGCCTTCTCCGAGACGGACCTTTGTGCCCCCAACACCTCCTGCATCGTAATGTTTTGGAATACCCCGCCTCTGTGACCATAAAGGGCTGACAACAATGCAGCAAAGTGCCCGTAGAACTGCCATTGGTTCTTCTGATTCGGGCCATTTTCCAAGAGGCCTACACACAGGCAGGAGACAGTACAACATTAAAGCTCAAAGCCACAGGTGTTTCACAGAGTCAAGCAAAGCTGGGACTACTTACTCAGAAGATCGGGTATTGCCTTGGCTGCCAGTTCCCGGCACTTCAGGAGGATGGCTTTTGAAATCACTCGCTCCTCTTTTTGGGTTTTCACCGCCGTCTGGTGAATGGACACTCCCCTCTTCAAAGACCTTCTTATCGCTGCTATCTCCCGTCGAAGTCCGATCAGCGACTGCTTGGACAGCCGGCACGATGGCGGAGGGGTCTCCGCCAGGTACTGCATGAAGCATCCCACGTTCACGTCGACATGTGGGCCTGACGGAGGGAGCTAACCCACATGTGTATCTTTGCTTTGTTGTTCAGGAAGAGAAAGTCGGACAGCTTGCTTTTTCCCTCTGACATGTAAGCAATGAACTTTTTGATCCTGTAGACCTGGCAGCTTACATTTTCCTTCAGCTTATAGCTGGCATCTGGGCCTTCCTTGAAGTGGCGATAATCCTCCAGCATGTCATCTGCAAAAACAAGGCAAAGAGAGATTAGAAATCGACATTTGCAAAAGATACAAACAGTTAGAGGAAAGGCATACTCACTGAGTGCTGACACGTGGTCTGGATAGGGGGGAGGGCTTTTCTCAGGCGACTGCTGACTGCCACTTGCCGACGGTTTCTCCTCACCGACTTTATCCTTTTGCTCGATGGACTGCTTAGATTTGGACAGTTCACCAGCTGAGGTGGCCTGGTCGTGGTCGGCGGGGTCAGCGGGGGCAGCAGGGCTGATTGGGGTGTCGTCCTCTTCCTCTGGTCCAAGAGAAGATAGGAGCTTCCGGACCACCTGCCCTGTTCGCGTCGCACCGAGGCTGGCAGACCTCCTTTTTAAGATTCGGTATCGCCTGGTCACCTTCCGGAGGCTGTCTGTTAATATGTCTACCTGTTGATTCAGGTCGAGCACTTGGGTTCTCAGCAAGTCTTTTTGCCGTTTGCAGCCTTGGTTGGCACATTCTTCCTCCTCCAGCTCCTCCTCGTCAGGATGGAAGGTGGCTTCCTCCAACTCCTGCAGCTCCTCCAAGTCGAGAGTGGAAACCATGGGAACATCTGGGTTCGTGGCCCTGAGCATAGTAAGTTTGCTCAGGATCTGTCTTCTCTTGCACAACCGGAGAGCCTCATACTGCGCCACCAGGGAAATTTCATAATGTGCAGGTCAAGCCGGCTTGAGAATTTTCCGCAGGCTGGCACGGGACACATGCCAGCCCTGGCATCAACTCGGCCAGACTCCAGTGCCAGGAGCAGCTTCCTCTCTTGCTTATTCTCCACTTTGTGCGTCACTGTCAAGTGCTGGCTTAGCCGAGCATACATCCGCAGGCAAAGCGGGCAGGTTTCCACACCCATCCTGAAACCTTTCTTTCTCTCCCTTATCGGGGTTTTTAAAGTGTCTCTTTCACTCAGAAAGTCTTTATATCTCTTGTCTTGGGACTTGGGGGTCTGAGTCTTCCAAGTGTCTCTTTTACTATCAATCGCTTTGTATCTGTTTTGGGACTTGGGACTTGGGGGTCTGAGTCTTCCAAGTGTTTCTTTGTTATCACAGTGCTCTCCAATCCAACAATTCTTCACCTCCCCCGATACCTCGATGGCAGGTAAGAGGAAACGGGGGTAAGTGGGAGTGCAACCCGCTGCCATGTGACTGGCAGGCCGTGCACTTGCTGGGGCACAGCTAGAGACATGGAAGGGGTATGCGACAAGCTAACCGGTGAACTTGAACATGAACTTGACTTAGATGGCTTGAAAAACCGGATTCAGCCCACCATCCCCCGAATTCGCTTTAAACATCGCCTTTTTGACCCACCATCACCCGAATCGCTTTAAACATCGCCTTTTTGACCCACCATCACCCGAATCGCTTTAAACATCGCCTTTGACCCACCATTACCCGAATCGCTTTAAAAATCGACTTTGGACCCACTATCACCCGAATCGCTTGAAAAATCGCCTTCGGACCTGCTCTCATCCTTATTCCTAGGAAAATCCCCTTTGCACCCGCCATAATACAAATCGTTTGGAAAATTGCCATCAGACCAATCATCCTAGTCAATTGAAAAATCACCTTCGCCTTAAAATCGGGTGAGATGATGTATAGGTGATCAGGGGAACAACTAGGCTGCCTGTGGTCAGAAAGGTGGTCAGGGGGACAATTAGGCTGTTTGTGGCCATCGAGGGGACCAGTATTTCTAAAAAAATATTCTGAAACAAGTTATTCTACAAGGGACACGTCCACAGAGAGCCTATTTAGGGTCCACTGAATAAGCTTCAGGTGGGATGTCCGCAGACAGCTTAATAAGCTACAGGCGGGATGTCGACAGACAGCCTAATAAGCTACAGGTGGGATGTCCAAAGACAGCCTAGTGGGATGTCCACAGACAGCCTAATAAGCTACAGGTGGGATGTCCACAAACAGCCTAGTGGGATGTCCACAGACAGCCTAATAAGCTACAGGTGGGATGTTCCCAGACAGCCTAATAAGCTACAGGTGGGATGTCCACAGACAGCCTAATAAGATGCTGGTCTGAGGGCTTGAGTGGTTTATCGTGGCCACATTGGCATCCAGGGGGACTTGTAGATCGTTACTTGGCATTTAGGTTTTCAGGGGGACAGATAGGTCGTTCCTGGCCACATAGGTGTTCAGGAAGATAGATAGGCTGTTCGTGGCCATATAGGTGTTCAGGGGGACAGATAGGCTGTTCGTGGCCACATTGGTGTTTACAGGGACAGATAGGCTGTTCGTGGCCACATTGGTGTTCAGAGGGACAGATAGGCTGTTCGTGGCCACATTGGTGTTCAGAGAGATGTATGGGTTGTTCCCACAATTTAGGTGTTCAGGGGGACAGATAGGCTGTTTGTGGCCACATAAGTGTTCAGGGGGACAGATAGGCTGTTTGTGGCCACATAGGTGTTCAGGGGGACAAAGAGGCTGTTCGTGGCCACATTGGTGTTCAGGGGGACAGATGGGTTGTTCCCACAATTTAGGTTTTCAGGGGGACAGATAGGCTGTTTGTGGTCACATAGGTGTTCAAGGGGACAGATAGGCTGTTCATGGTCACATTGGTGTTCAGAGGGACAGATTGGTCATTTCTGGCCATTTTGTGGCTGTTTGTAGCCACATTGGTGTTCAGGGGGACAAATAGGCTGTTTGTGGCCACATAGGTGTTCAGGGGGACAAAGAGGCTGTTCGTGGCCACATTGGTGTTCAGGGGGACAGATGGGTTGTTCCCACAATTTAGGTTTTCAGGGGGACAGATAGGCTGTTTGTGGTCACATAGGTGTTCAAGGGGACAGATAGGCTGTTCATGGTCACATTGGTGTTCAGAGGGACAGATTGGTCATTTCTGGCCATTTTGTGGCTGTTTGTAGCCACATTGGTGTTCAGGGGGACAAATAGGCTGTTCGTGGCCACATTGGTGTTCAGAGAGATGTATGGGTTGTTCCCACAATTTAGGTGTTCAGGGGGACAGATAGGCTGTTTGTGGCCACATAGGTGTTCAGGGGGACAGTTAGGCTGTTCGTGGCCGCATAGATGTTCAGAGAGACAGATGGGTTTTTTTTCCCACAATTTAGGTGTTCAGGGGGGCAGATAGGCTGTTCGTGGCCACATAGGTGTTCAGAGAGATGTATGGGTTGTTCCCACAATTTAGGTGTTCAGGGGGACAGATAGACTGTTTGTGGTCACATTGGTGTTTAGAGGGACAGATAGGCTGTTTGTGGCCACATAGGTGTTCAGGGGGACAGAGAGGCTGTTCGTGGCCACATTGGTGTTCAGAGAGATGTATGGGTTGTTCCCACAATTTAGGTGTTCAGGGGGACAGATAGGCTGTTTGTGGCCACATAGGTGTTCAGGGGGACAGATAGGCTGTTCGTGGCCACATAAGTGTTCAGAGAGACAGATGGGTTTTTCCCACATTTAGGTGTTCAGGGGGGCAGATAGGCTGTTTGTGGCCACATTGGTGTTTAGAGGGACAGATAGGCTGTTTGTGGCCACATAGGTTTTCAGGGGGACAGATAGGCTGTTTGTGGCCACATATGTGTTCAGGGGGACAGAGAGGCTGTTTGTGGCCACATTGGTGTTCAGAGAGATGTATGGGTTGTTCCCACAATTTAGGTGTTCAGGGGGACAGATAGGCTGTTTGTGGTCACATTGGTGTTTAGAGGGACAGATAGGCTGTTTGTGGCCACATAGGTGTTCAGGGGGACAGAGAGGCTGTTTGTGGCCACATTGGTGTTCAGAGAGATGTATGGGTTGTTCCCACAATTTAGGTGTTCAGGGGGACAGATAGGCTGTTTGTGGCCATATAGGTGTTCAGGGGGACAAATAGGCTGTTCGTGGTCACATTGGTGTTCAGAGGGACAGATAGGCTGTTTGTGGCCACATAGGTGTTCAGGGGGACAGATAGGCTGTTCGTGGCCACATTGGTGTTCAGAGAGACAGATGTGTTTTTCCCACAATTTAGGTGTTCAGGGGGACAGATAGACTGTTTGTGGTCACATTGGTGTTTAGAGGGACAGATAGGCTGTTTGTGGCCACATAGGTGTTCAGGGGGACAGATAGGCTGTTCGTGGCCACATAAGTGTTCAGAGAGACAGATAGGCTGTTTTTCCCACATTTAGGTGTTCAGGGGGGCAGATAGGCTGTTTGTGGCCACATAGGTGTTCAGACAGATGTATGGGTTGTTCCCACAATTTAGGTGTTCAGGGGGACAGATAGGCTGTTTGTGGTCACATTGGTGTTTAGAGGGACAGATAGGCTGTTTGTGGCCACATAGGTGTTCAGGGGGACAGAGAGGCTGTTCGTGGCCACATTGGTGTTCAGAGAGCTGTATGGGTTGTTCCCAAAATTTAGGTGTTCAGGGGGACAGATAGGCTGTTTGTGGCCACATAGGTGTTCAGGGGGACAGATAGGCTGTTTGTGGCCACATAGGTGTTCAGGGGGACAGAGAGGCTGTTTGTGGCCACATTGGTGTTCAGAGAGATGAATGGGTTGTTCCCACAATTTAGGTGTTCAGGGGGACAAATAGGCTGTTTGTGGCCACATAGGTGTTCAGGGGGAAAAATAGGCTGTTCGTGGTCACATTGGTGTTCAGAGGGACAGATAGGCTGTTTGTGGCCACATAGGTGTTCAGGGGGACAGATAGGCTGTTCGTGGCCACATAGGTGTTCAGAGAGACAGATGTGTTTTTCCCACAATTTAGGTGTTCAGGGGGACAGATAGGCTGTTTGTGGCCACATAGGTGTTCAGGGGGACAAATAGGCTGTTTGTGGCCACATTGGTGTTCA